CTTTGTGATTTATGACTTTGCTTCCCAGGTAACTTGACTACAGGAAGAACACATACTGAACTGAAGAATACGTACTAAAGAAGACAAGTATTCTGATTTGGGAAACAAAGTTTTAGAGTGATGCTGTGTTAGGCATCCAGGCTTCAGTTTTCATTCTCAAACTAAGTTTAGCATCAGTACAACCCTGAAGCCTGGGTCCAATTCTTACCAACATGATCTATCAAAGACTGTGAGCCTGAAAGGCTGAGACACACAGTGAGGACTACGCCATTCTCAAAGGTAATACACCTCATGTGCAGTACCAGATCCAGGTGAATGCCTAGCAGTCTGCCCCAGCTGGGCAAGCTTCTGATTCCAGCAGGACCAAGCAAACTGTGTTTCCACCTTACAAATTCCTGTAAGATGGATTATATTCTCTCACAAGATGGATGGTATGAAATACTAAGAAATATACATATATTGTTCTCTGTGCCTAGTTCCTGATGCTGAGCCCCTAAAACCCTTGTCTTTGTGGGGTGCTCCAAGAGTCTTATGTTCTAATATTTCTAGTTCCTGACACAGAACTCCTAGGAGCTCTGCTATTTCCTGAGTGATAAGAATATCTAACACCAAGCTCCCAAGTCCCTCTGAATCTGGGGGTGATCAGAATGTCTTTTGTTTTAATGAGGTGACTTTTGGTGGGCTTTTAGATGGTGGGTAGTCACCAGAAAGAAGCTTGAATTTTCAGGTCCATCCACCATTCTCTGGAGAGGGCCAAGACACGGAATTAATAATCCATCATGCCTACAGGATGAAGCCTTCATAGAAAGTCCCTCTAGCATAGGGTATCGGAGAAGGCAATGGCAACCCACTCCACTACTCTTGCCTGGAAAATCCCATGGACGGAGGAGCCTGGTAGGCTGCAGTCCATGGGGTCGCAAAGAGATGGACATGACTGAAGCGACTTAGCAGCAGCAACACAGCGTATAGAGAGCTTCCAAGTGAATGAACATATCTAAACTGCAGGAGGAAAAAATAAATAAATAAACTGCAAGAGGGTGGCACATCCCAGCTTCATGGGTCTAACACTCCTACCTCAGGAGACATCTGGACTTTGCCCTATGAACCTGACCATCTATCTGCATCCTTCATCACATCCTTTATTAACGCATTACCATAAGCTGGTAAATAAATGGACACTTGCATTTCCACGAGTTCTATGAACCACTCTAACAAATTCTCACGTCCAAGACAGGGGTTATGAGAAAGTGGAGTTCTGGCCGGTCAGTCAAAAGTACCAGGAATAACCTGGGACTTGAGACGGGCATCTCAATTGGAAGGCAGTCTTGTAGGACCAAGTCCTTAACTTGTGGGATCAGAGGTCAACTCCAGGTAGACAGAATCAGAACTGAATCCAATAGCAGGCGGCTCAGCTGGCATCACAGAACAGGTTGGTATGGGGGAAAACCCACACGTTTGGTGACCAGAAGTGAAGTATTGTGTGTGTGCAGGAGACACACAGGAGTGCTTTTCCTACACAGATGAGAAGCCTGGGTCCAATTCTTACCAACATGATCTATCAAAGACTGTGAGCCTGAAAGGCTGAGACACACAGTGAGGACTACGCCATTCTCAAAGGTAATACACCTCATGTGCAGTACCAGATCCAGGTGAATGCCTAGCAGTCTGCCCCAGCTGGGCAAGCTTCTGATTCCAGCAGGACCAAGCAAACTGTGTTTCCACCTTACAAATTCCTGTAAGATGGATTATATTCTCTCACAAGATGGATGGTATGAAATACTAAAAAATATACATATATTGTTCTCTGTGCCTAGTTCCTGATGCTGAGCCCCTAAAACCCTTGTCTTTGTGGGGTGCTCCAAGAGTCTTATGTTCTAATATTTCTAGTTCCTGACACAGAACTCCTAGGAGCTCTGCTATTTCCTGAGTGATAAGAATATCTAACACCAAGCTCCCAAGTCCCTCTGAATCTGGGGGTGATCAGAATGTCTTTTGTTTTAATGAGGTGACTTTTGGTGGGCTTTTAGATGGTGGGTAGTCACCAGAAAGAAGCTTGAATTTTCAGGTCCATCCACCATTCTCTGGAGAGGGCCAAGACCCGGAATTAATAATCCATCATGCCTACAGGATGAAGCCTTCATAGAAAGTCCCTCTAGCATAGGGTATCGGAGAAGGCAATGGCAACCCACTCCACTACTCTTGCCTGGAAAATCCCATGGACGGAGGAGCCTGGTAGGCTGCAGTCCATGGGGTCGCAAAGAGATGGACACGACTGAAGCGACTTAGCAGCAGCAACACAGCGTATAGAGAGCTTCCAAGTGAATGAACATATCTAAACTGCAGGAGGAAAAAATAAATAAATAAACTGCAGGAGGGTGGCACATCCCAGCTTCATGGGTCTAACACTCCTACCTCAGGAGACATCTGGACTTTGCCCTATGAACCTGACCATCTATCTGCATCCTTCATCACATCCTTTATTAACGCATTACCATAAGCTGGTAAATAAATGGACACTCGCATTTCCACAAGTTCTATGAACCACTCTAACAAATTCTCACGTCCAAGACAGGGGTTATGAGAAAGTGGAGTTCTGGCCGGTCAGTCAAAAGTACCAGGAATAACCTGGGACTTGAGACGGGCATCTCAATTGGAAGGCAGTCTTGTAGGACCAAGTCCTTAACTTGTGGGATCAGAGGTCAACTCCAGGTAGACAGAATCAGAACTGAATCCAACAGCAGGCGGCTCAGCTGGCATCACAGAACAGGTTGGTATGGGGGAAAACCCACACGTTTGGTGACCAGAAGTGAAGTATTGTGTGTGTGCAGGAGACACACAGGAGTGATTTTCCTACACAGATGGTTTCCAGTTTCTTTAGCAATTTTAAGTTAATGCCATCAGCTGAAACGGTTTATTGGATGCTCTTAATTTTACTAAGAAAAAAAATTTTTTTTTAATTTCTTGATGCATTCAACATGGATCAGTAGGTTTTTGCTTTTTTTTTCCCCAAGAATGAAGAAGAAAAAAAATTCTTTTCTGTGATGACGACAAAAAGAGAAAATTTCTATTTGTATCATATACTCCAGAAATGAACTCACAGGTTCTCAACAGACCTCCACAGGAAAGAAACTGACAAGGAAAAAAATGAAGGGAAGGATTTTCCTGGTAGTCCAGTGGTCAGGACTTTGAGCTTCCACAGCAGAGGGCACGGGTTTGATTACTGGTCAGGAACTGAGAACCCGCTGTGTGGGATCCCCACAAAGTCCGGAAGCAAAAAATAAGGTACTGGTCTAGAAGGTGATGCTACCTTTTGTACTTACACAATCTCTTCTTCCACATTGTTAAAGGAGAGCCTCAACAATTCTTGAAACTCACCTCCTAGGACTTAGCAACCACTCATGAGCTCCTACTCTACATCTGGTAAAAATACATTGATGTTAGAATTTCAAACATACTGGCTTCAGTTACAAGGCGTGATAATGATACTAACTTATGGTAACTGAAACCTTTATTCCATAATCACTTTATCTTTCTCCAATTCTCAAAGGATTTTAGATTAAAACTGGCACTCTTCTGCTTTTTCCAGGCTCGGAGGCAAACAACGTGAAACAATTGTCCTCCAACGAGAGTTTAATTTCTCTTTCCCTGGGCTGCCAGAAATGCCACAGGGAAGAATTCAAAACAACTAAGCATTTGCTTGAGTTTTTGCCAAGAAAACTTTCCCCCACTTCCTTGATCATACTGATTCCCTTTTTGAAAAAAATCCTCTTCCATGTGAAAACAAAATCAAATAGAACCATATTTTTGCCTTTTGCAAATGCCTGTTTTATAATGCAGAATCTAACTGGGCTGACCCATTACTTCTTTCTGCGACCTCCCAGGAACCTTCATGCTGGCTGGAGCAGGGACCTCACAAGGAGATAATATTTAAAGCAATGTTTGGGCAGCAGTAACATAGGACCCAAAGGGATTGCTCTAAGGTTTTCAGCAGATTAAACTATGGAATACATCCCAGGGAAAAAAATAAACGGAAATGAAAATACAATTACAGCTACCGTCAGTGCACCTGTGAAAACCAATACTGCAGGTTTTAGCCAATAGAACTGGGGCTTTGAATTTTAAATAAAGATCTCTATAACCCGGCAAGGTACTTAACAAATCCCAACCTTCCTTTTCTTAACTATTAAATACCTAACACCAGAATATTTAGGAGGACTATGATGATTAAACACCATGTGTCAAATATAAAAACTGAGTGTGTATAACAGAGTATAATTGAGTATATAATAGAAAGAAAACAAGAAATGAGTATGACTCACAAAAAATGTAATCACAAATTAAAATTCTACCAACTATAAGCCTTTTTCATTTAACATTTTATCACATAGAATTCACTCTCTACCAAATATTGTGTGGGATTCTGGCATAAGCTCACAATATTCCTTCTGCTTGCAGTTTCCATCTAAATATCCTTCTATGTGAAGTCATTTCCAACCTGCTAATCTCTCCAAATCTGCTAATCTCCCCAACCTTCTGCAAGTTAAATATGTCTGTGTTCCCATCACATTGTGCTCATGACATTATTATACATATTATGGTATAGGGAGACCTGTGAACCCCAATATTTGCTACAGCATTCACTCCTGGGGGCAGAAATCCTTTCACAGCTCAATATATTCATTATCTACTAGGGACCAGAGCACAGTAGGCAATAAATAAACATCTGTGAATGTATGAATGCATATATCAATTATTCCTTTTTTCATCTTCTAAAAGCGGGGAAAATGTCAAACACCTCCTAAAGTGATTTCCATTTTTAATACAGATTATAACAAATAAAAATAAATCTCTCATTTTAGTGGAAATGAGATTTAGTGGAAATTTAAATGGAAATTAAATTAGTGAGATTTAAATCAAAATTCAGTTTCCATTTAGTGGAAATTTTAGTATATACACAGTTAACCATAGAACTGTTTCTATCACGTCGCCACAATACTTACTGGCTGGAACAATGAAATCTCCATGTAACTCATAGGTCATTAGCGGCTCTGGAAGACTCCTACATGGAAAAGAGAACTCAGAATTACCAAAAACAAACAGGTCACCTCTCTTTGCACTTTTTATAAAAGGATATTCAACATGTCATGCATTTCTTTATGTTCAAAACTCCCCAAGAAATACTTTTACATATCAAAAAAGATACATCATTCAAATGGATTCCTTTATTAAGTGTTATCTGCACCAGGCATTATCAAAAGCTTAAGCAGTCACAAATTCCTATCAGATCTAAGCATTTCACATTTAATCTTGGAAAGTACCTTTACAAACATTCGATTTCATATATAAAACTTCCTTCCACAGACTAACTTATTTAAAGTCAAACATTTTATCCAACCAAATAGATAATACTGAAAATCACCCCTAGGGTATTAATTGAAGATGCCACAAAAAATATATGGAAAAGATTAAACTTCAAGAAATCAAGCCCCCTCCTCTTGTATCTCATAAAAACATAATACTCGATTTTGATATATGCCTATGAAACAATAAAGATATAAAATAAAATTGATGACAACTTAAAAAAAATCATTTTAATTTTCTACAAAGCAGATTACATAAATAGTAAATTTCATCCTGTGGTCAACAGAATGTTAGTTCAATCAACATTTATATGTATCTTAAATTTTAAAAGACCAGATCTTCAAACTCTATAAACACTTAAAGAACATGAAGATGAGTTTTCAATCTGCATCCCCTTTCTGGAGGGCAATCTGGAAACATAAAAGATAAAAACTTAAAACATTTAGAATCAAGATTGCCAGGAGAAATATCAATAACCTCAGATATGCAGATGACACCACCCTTATGGCAGAAAGTGAAGAACTAAAGAGCCTCTTGATGAAAGTGAAAGAGGAGAGTGAAAAAGTTGACTTAAAGCTCAACATTCAGAAAACTAAGATCATGGCATAGGGTCCCATCACCTCATGGGAAATAGATGGGGAAACAGTGGAAACAGTGGCTGACTTTATTTTTCTGGGCTCCAAAATCACTGCAGATGGTGACTGCAGCAATGAAATTAAAAGACGCTTACTCCTTGGAAGGAAAGTTATGATGAACCTAGACAGCATATTAAAAAGCAGAGACATTACTTTGCCTACAAAGGTCCATCTGGTCAAGGCTATGGTTTCTCCAGTGGTCATGTATGGATGTGAGAGTTGGACTGTGAAGAAAGCTGAGCGCTGAAGAATTGATGCTTTTGAACTGTGGTGTTGGAGAAGACTCTTGAGAGTCCCTTGGACTGCAAGGAGATCAGTCCTGGGTGTTCACTGGAAGGACTGATGCTGAAGCTGAAACTCCAGTAGTTTGGCCACCTCATGGAAGAGTTGACTCATTGGAAAAGACCCTGATGCTGGGAGGGATTGAGGGCAGCAGGAGAAGGGGACGACAGAGGATGAGAAGGCTGGATGGCATCACCGACTCAATGGATATGAGTTTGAGTAAACTCCGCGAGTTGATGATGGACAGGGAAGCCTGGCATGCTGCTATTCATGGGTTTGCAAAGAGTCAGACACGAGTGAGCGACTGAACTGAACTGAAAGTAAAAAAATATAGCCACTCTGGAAAGAAGCTTGTCAGTTTCCCCAAAAGTTAAATATAGACCTATCGTAAGACCCAGGCACTATACTCTTAGGATTCACCCAAGAGAAATGAAAGCCTCAGTGTTCAGCTGTGTCTGATTCTTTGTGACCCCATGGACTGTAGCCTGCCAGGCTCCTCTGTGCCTGGAATTTTCCAGGCAAGAATACTGAAGTGAATTGCCATTTCCTTCTCCAGGAGATCTTCCCAACCCAGGGATCAAACACCAGTTTCTTGTGTCTCCTGCATTGGCCGGAGGATTCCTTACCACTGGCACCGCCTGGGAAGCCTAAGTTCACTCAAAAGATTTATACACACAGGTTTTTAAAGTATCTTTATTTATAACAGCCAAAAGCAACAAATAATGCAAGTATCTATTAACAGGTAAGTGGATAAAAGAAGAAATTTGTGGTATATCCATAAAAAGGAACACCAGTTAGCATCAAGAAGGAATGGATAACTGGTGCTTGCCGCACATAGGTGAATCTCGAATTATAACAAGTGAAAGAACCCAGATTTTACTTTTTTTACTTTTTTGGCCATGCAGCATGGGAATCCTAGTTCCCCGACCAGGGACGGAACCAGTGCCCCCTGTGTTGGAAGAGCCAAGTCTTACCCTCTGGACCACCAGGGAAGTCCAAGAATCCAGACTTTTAAAAGTACATGCTCTATGACTCCATGTCCATGAAATTACAGGAGATGTCCATTAATGGACAGTGACAGAAAGCAAACCAAGTGGTTTGCCCGGGATGAGGGAACAAGAAGAGAAGCGGGAGAAAGAGGGAACTCAAAGGGGCTTGAGGAACCCCTGACGGCAGGTTCACCATCCTGACTTTACTGACGGCTTCACAGACGTACAAGCACGTCAAACTGCCCAAGATATATTCTATGAATATATGCAGCTATTGTACATCAATTACACTTCAATAAAACTGCTTAGCAAAACATGAAAAAATATATTTACAGACTATGCTCCCTACATTTTTTACTGAATAAATTTCACTTGGAACATTAGATAAGTGGAAGGTGCACAGTGTGTTATTTTGATAATTTATATATTGTGATGGATAACCAATGTAGCAATATTTATCACATTACATAATTATAGTACACTATTGTTGTCTGCATTCATTATACTGTGCGTCACATCTCTACGGCCTATTTACTACTCATTACGGGTTTGTCCCCTCTAACACCAGTCTCGCCCCTCCACCAGGCCCTTGCAGCCACTATTTTATCTTACGTACAATGTCTGATGCTGCAGAACACACACACACACACACACACACACACACACACAATGACAACTAGAGACAGTGACGCTGAAACTTAAAAGCACTAGTGAAGAAAAGCTGTTCTCTTATTTCCTCTCTCTCTCTCCCCTTCATCTGCTAGACTCAAAGAAGAAAAATAAAACGAGTTACACTACAGACTAAATAAAGAAAAAGAAGTCGCAATCAAAAAGCAAAGCTCTGGTTTTGTTTCAAAACGGGATCAAGCAGGAAGTAGTGATAAAGGAAAATGTTTCATCTGTCAGAGAATGAAAGTTAAAGGGTTCCCAAAAGAAAGAGGGGGGGAAATGAAATCACTTAGAAATCCCATAGAGAGTGTTTCATTTCCAATAAAAATGAATTTGTATCTAAATATCTTCATGCTACTTACATCATTGCAGTATGTCTAGCCAAGCAATGCGGCATAAAAATAAAAGAATTAAGTCTTGGGTTTTTTTAGGTTTGTTTTTTTAAGATTTTGGCTGCTCTGGGTCTTCCTTGTGGCTCGTGGGCTATTTCCTGCGGCCCATGGGCTCAGTAATCACCATTCACGGGCTTGGTTGCCCCGCAGCACGCAGAATCCTAGTGCCCAGACCAGAGATTGAATCCAAGTCGCCTGCATTGGAAGGCGGATTCTTCACCACCAAACCACCACGGAAATCCCTTAATTATTGTTAACACTGGGGAAGCAGTAATAAAAATGACAAGTTTCCCATATACAACTCATTGAGTCACTACATCGGTCGGCTTCTCATCCGACATGAGACATTTTGGACACCTGGAAACAGGGGAGGCCCTCTCATAGTCCCAGCATTCGGGGAATTACTGGAAATCCCTGGAGGAGGAAATGGCAACCCACTCCAGTATTCTTACCTGGAGAATCCCATGGACAGAGGAGCCTGGCGGGCTACAGTCCAAGGGGTTGCAAAGAGTTGGACACAACTGAACACACATGCATGATACATTTTGTCTTTTCTATTTGGTCCCTTTTTTAAAGTCCTTATCTTTTCTGAGATACACTCAAATATTTATGAGTGCAGCAATATGATGGTTTAGAAAATCTCTAAAGTATTAGCCCCAAAAAGTGGCAGTAGGGAGACTGATGAAACAAGAAGTGTCGAATGTTGAAAACTGAAGAAGCAGGATACTGGGGCTATGAGAAGTCATTATATTCATCTTCCTGCCTATACGTTTGAAATTTTTTAAATATAAAATACGTACTAAAAGTTGACTCTAATGTGCTTGTTGGAACCCAGATAGCATTTCCCTGAAAAATAATCCTGTGTGTTGGTTAAAAAGAACTCATGCTGGGGAGGCAGTGCCATTTGATTGCCAGACAAAAATCAAAGTCCCCAGCAGACCCACAGCCTAGGTAGCACAGTTGTGACTATTTCCCATTCCTTTGCTCCATGTACTTGTCCTTCATCTAACCTCCAGCTTTGTGATCATTCGGCTCCTTTATTTTTTCAAGAAAGGCGAATGCTCATAGAAATGCTGAACCTTCTTTGAACTCTATAGCAAATATGTAAAACTCAAAGTTCATCTTTAAAAAACACCTCATCAATTAAACTTCTTTCCAAATAGCTTTGTATCTTTGTGTCATTATCGTAAGTGTTTAATTTCATAGGGCTTACATTTAAATTAAGATATCTTCACTTTAGCCTACAACACAAAGAAAAGATTCAACGAATGGAATAAATAGCCTTCTTCCTCACTGTTTCAGAGCGTTCAATTTCGAAAACTCACATCCACATTTCAAAACCCAAGTCTCTTCCAATTCTCTTCAGTTGCAATTGATCTGTCAGCTGATGTTCACTGACTATGGACCACACTTCCTGGAGCATCATTAGGTACCTCACAAATATATTTTCACATAAACTTTGACTTTTGAGTTGCGCATGCAGAGTCAGCATCGGCTGTGTGTCAGACTCCCAGTCCGCTCCCCCGCCTGCTACCAAGAGAAGCTCACCTCAAATACTGCTTCAGGGCACTTGTTATTGTCTTCACTTCCCAGTCTATGGAATTCTCCAGGTCTACCTCATTGCAGGTCTTCACATCTAGTGAGCAAGCAAGGAAGAAACAAATATTAAAACCTGACCATTCAGAGGCCCTCTTGACTGGCTGACAATGCTTAGATTCTTAAACAGCCAAACCACAAATATCGAATTCTGTGGTTTCCTATAAAAAAACATTACATACAATTTCTTATCATAGTACAAGCCATGTTCTATTCTCAGACATTTCTAGCACTTCAGAAAATCTGTAGTGGAGATCAAAGTAAAAGGGTAAGGGCTGGGCTAGGAGCATGGAAGACCTTAGCAAAGCATTTTAGTATTCACAGCTGCAAAGCATATATCGCTATTACTACTACTATTATAAGATACTACTCAGCGTCATGGCTTATAGCATGTAACATATAAAGTGCCTATATATTTGAACTTGCTTTGGGTGGAATTATTGTTACTGTGTTACGACAGGGCAAACAGCACCCTTAATGTTAAAATTACTATAAGAAGATCAACAACTCAGTGGAGAAGAAGGAAGCCAAGTCTGGTCCCACACTTGTAAGGTTTGCACTCATCACACTCTCTCTCCAAAGACTAATACATGATCAACCAAAACAGAAATACAATGACACATAAACTAAAAAAGCCTTTTATGAGTAATCTTTCATATTAACATTACAATTTACACACTCATCCAGGAGCTATTTATTAGAAGCCTCTACAAAACATTTCTGACATTCTAAATTAGTTTTGTCTCAAAATTACATTAATAATGTGTTTCTTCCAAATGCCCTTTCAAATACCTAGTAAGCTCTAAAGAAGATATAAAACATGCACTAAAAAAAAGAACAAGAAGAGTTAAAGGAGAAGGGGCAGGAGAGGGAGGAGGGGATGGAATGTGCAGTTAATTTTGAAAAAGAAAAAGTCAGTTCTGAAATTAAAAAAAAGGGGGGGGGGATGGTGGGAAAGGCAAGCATTCTGAGGGTGGTGGCATCTCCGAGCCTTGGAAGGCTGGGCTACTGCACTTGGCTGTGACCCAGGAGCAGGGGAGAGAGTGCATCAAGGAGTCACACAGCTAGGCTTAGGTCCCACTGCAAACCTGGCCAGCTTCACCACTCCAAGTCATTTCTAACCTATCTGAACTTCAGCTCTTCCCGTGCACAATGGAGACAACATAAACACTCCATTGAGAGCATCAAAGTCAATCAGAGCTGTATGCAGATTTCCATAAATCATTAAATGTGCAGGTAATCACCACAACTGAGTACCAAAAGTATAAGCATTCTACCCAAAGAGAGAAGCAGTAAATGGGTTATGATGAATGACATCCATCGATCAACAGAAACTGGTATGAGTTTCTACACTCCAACCATGCAAAGGAGAAAATAAGAGACTTGTGAAAGAGACTTATTTCTCCCTCACTCGGGAATGTTTCAACTAAGACTCCCCCAAAAACGAGTCGTTTCAGGGTTTTTTTCCTTCATTGCACTATATTTGTCTAAATATGCAAGGAAACACTTTATTGGCATACCCTTTTCAAATTAAAGCTCAAAAAGAAAATCCTGTTCAAATGGAACAGTACATTAAGTCACACATGCCCCTTAAAAGAGAAAGGATGTGTGACAACACAGTGCTATCCTCAAATTTTTCGAAAATAAAGTAAAACAGGAAGTGATGGTTATTTCACAGCCATAACATCAGATATATGAAGTCAATTACTCAAAAGTCTAGAGACTTTTTAAAGCACTTCAACAGCTCTTGATTACAGCAACTGACAGCAAGATGCAATAAACTACAACAATGGCAATTGACACTGATTACATTTTGATCGGTTCCTACAATTCAGAACTCATTTGTCACTGCGCTTGTCAGACAAGCCACAGATACATTCAAGAAATCAAATTAAGCACCCTGATTAAAGGTGCAATCCTTTATAACTAGGACTAAATAATTCTGCTCTAAAGGCTTTGCCAACCAATTACTGCAGTAACTGAATATTCTCTCTCTCATTAAATCAATTATTTAAATCTCATACAAGTCAGATAACATTTTCAATCAACTTGCTACCAGCAAACCACCATTTTAAAATCCAGGAGGCTTCAAAAGGAAATCTTTTACTTTCAGCTTTTGACCATCATTCTATATTTTGAGAATCATAGTCTTTCTATGGGAAAATAAGCCATCTTTTGTATTTATGGAATAAAAAGGAGCTGTCACAATAGAAACCAATGGCTACATGGTGTCCATGGTATTACTCCTCCATTAAATTCTCACTGTTTCCAAATAACTCAATCACCCATACCTAGCAGCTCTTAACAACCTGTGGATGCACTGGGACTAGATAAATTTGTTAGAAACTTATTTTGGATTCAAATTTAAAAATGCATTTAGAGTGTTCAATTAGAATATATGCTCTACTATAAATAAGGTAGAAATTCTGTTTCTTCTCTGGCCAAGGAATATTACACCACATGGATTAGTTTAAAACCTAAACTAGTAAGCAGAGACACAAAGAGTTGACTTTTTATTTGGATAGATGTTTCATAATTATATAACCAGTGGTCATCTTTTTGTTTTTTTTGAAACTGGAAACTTTCAGCCCAGCCCAAAATGCTGACATCTTACTGGACACTGACTTGGGTCCTAAAGTACTAGGAGATGCATAGTGACTGAATGAGTTTTGAGAATATTCCTTATAATCCAAAACCAGAAGCTTTTTCAGCTCCATTAGTTTGCTTTTCCCCTCAATCTATGTAGAAAGTCGTCCTACAAAACAAAGTAAACAACATAATAGGTTTACAGGAAAACAACTCTGAATCAGTTTGATTTCTGGCTTTCTATGGTTCTGTGTCTTAAATAAATAAAATCATCCAGCTGTTTCTACAAATTAAATTTAGAAACAGACAGAAGATTCACCAGCACACACAAGCTACCACTGAATTTTCCCAGCACTGCTCTGACGCTCTCATTCCACCGTGGAGAAGCAAGTACACAGAACGACTGTACCTGAGCTCAGTTCCAACCTACCGATAGCGACTGCAATTCATCTGTTACATTCTCACCCCACTTACTACAAAACCATGAGTCACCCAAAGACACCTCATCTGCTGTTTCTCCCCGCCTTTCCCAACTGCCTCAAGTTTCCCATAAAAAGACAAACAAGCCAAAAAAACTTTTAACAGACTACGTGTGCCCTCTGTTAGAGAAAAGAGAAGAGAAAGAAGGAGGAAAACCAAAACACGCGGAAGGGGAAGGAAGGCACTGAGGCATGGTTTTGTGGAACCTTGAGCAGCATGGTCCGCGGGAAAGCTGGGAGGCTGCTGGAAAACTCAGCAGACCGCAGCCCTCTGCCCCAGGGACTGGAGAAGGGCCAAGAGGACAAACAACTCTCCTGGCGGGGGAAGGCAGCTTCCCCTCCCCTACCCCACCTGCATCAGCACAGACATGGTGTCTGTTTAGAGGGCCTGCCGTGGTCAACTGCCACCAGCAATTCATGGGTGGTGGAGAGAGGAGAAGAAGGGGAGAGGCAAACAGGGGCAGGGAGGGGAGGACGGAGAGGAAGGGGAGGAGGGGGACGAGGAGGAGGAGGAGGAGGAAAAAATGTTTTTCTCTGCTGCAGTCTTCAATGTGAAGAGTGAAAACATATCCAAGAGAGACAAGCAAGGAAATACATGCAAGATACTGAGCATGCACCCTTCTTCTAGAAATTATCACAAACGTTTACTACAGCAATATTTAAAAAGTGCAGAAAATATTTTAAACACAAAAATATTTTATGTAAAAATGGCAATAATAGAAAAATAATAGCAAAGTATATGATTGGTTCTTAAGAACTACAAAGAACCAGGCCGGGGGGGGGAACCACACAAGTCCCTGTCAAAAAACATAAAACAACTTAGAACTTATTCTCAGATTCTTAAGAAGTCACATTATTCTTCATTTCTGCAAAGAAAAATGCATTATGAACAAAAACATTTTGAAAACAATCAAATTTGAAATAAACATTATCTAGAGGAACAGAAATTTTTAAAAAATAACTGCCTAAAAATGTTAAAACTTAGTAAATCTGAGGAAAGGTTATCATGGGGCTCCATTGTACGATAGTTGCAATTTTTCTGTAGGCTTGAGATTGTTTCAAAATTTTAAAAAAAAAATGTTTTTCAAAAATAAACAAGTAAATATATATTTTTAAAAATAACTACCTAGTATCACAAACAGGAAAAATTAACAGAATTAATAAGCTATAGGAGGGAAAAACAGATTGTTACAAAACAGCAAAGTTAAAAATCTGGCAAACTCACCCAACTTTTTCTCCTTAACACATATAACTTTGAAACAGTGTAGAGAGGTTGGGAAAAGTTGGAAAGAAAAAACATCTATGGGATAGAATGTACACAACTATTCAGAATTCTAAAATTCTTTTTCTGAAAAGGTATAAATTAGTTCAATTTGTACACTCGCTGAATCAGGAAGAAAGGAAAGAAATCTCTTAAGGCCATCTTAAAATTCACTCGAAACAGTGAATGAATCTTAAGAACTAAAGTTTGAGTTGGTAACATAAAGTAACAAAAAATGATGTTAATGCTAATGAAAATCCAAAGTTTGTGACTGACCACCTTAAATTCACACTAGGAATTATTTAGAGATAATAAAATAAATAAATTTAAAAGTAAATAAATAATAAATTTATCCAGTACTGTTCCCTTAAATGCATACTTAATAAGGAAAATAACAAGTCAGTATCTTTCCCTTGTGTTAATTCTCTGATTTCCTCTGATGGCAGAATAACATTACTGAAAACACAGCATTTCTTTTGCCAGCAACTTAAATGTGGCGGTGTCACGCTTGTGTCCTGGACTTCTCTACCCTGAGTCTCATGGAAAGTGAAAACAGTTTTCCAGGTCATGAAGTTTTAAGGGTTTAGATATTTTAAACACCTTGCAAGTTAAGGACTGCCTTGGGACATTTCCCACAAGCACAGCAAAGTACCACCCGGGTCTAGGGATGCTGATGATCATGTGGACTTTTATGAGATTAAGAACAAATCTGGAGGCAGCTTAACACCTCAGGGTGACCACAGGGACACCCACTTGTTCGAGCTGCCCTTGAACATGACGAGAAGATAACAAAATAACCCTAGGATCCTTATGACCCATTCACTGCCAAGTGGGCCTTCCAGCCAAATCTCCCTTTCTGATACCAACAACGTCTTCCAGTTCTAATCACTATAACACCATCTTGGAAATGAGAGAAGTGTTTCTAATTTTAAAATTAACTAAAAGCAGATGCTGTTGTCCCATTAAACTCTGCCAGCTGCTACTGAACCACTGGCAACCTGAGTCTATTTAATTTGGAGCTCACTAATGGTAAAAAGGAAAATCTGACTGCCAAAATTGCACACCCAAGTTAAACCAGAGAGGCAGAAAATGAAAACAGCTCATGAAACGCAAATGTATTCTCATAAGGCTCTTCCAAGTGATGACGAGTCATTTTTCCTGCGGTTAATATCTAAAAAAAGGGTTGTTGATTATTAAATCCTGAATTCAAACACAGCCAAACAAGCAATGCTATCTGTAACACCCAAGCTGATTTTAGGCAGTTCGGTTCATGCTTCCTCAAAGTGAGCCTTTGCAACAACGCTTAAAGAGGCAGACAGGTTTAAATGCATTGATAGAATACCTGAGGGTATTGTTAATATTGATTAAAGTGAGATAGCAAATTAATTAATATTTAGCAAGGTCATAATGACAGATCGGTTTGACACATGGGCCCTCAAGCCTGATGAGTTATCATCAGCCCCCCAGGAGGTAGCCTGCTTGGGGCTGGGGTGCAGGGGGAAGTGGGGCCTTTTACAGGTGGCACCGAGCTGACAGCAGTGTAATGTAAAAGCACTTTGTCATTCGCATAATGTCTGGGGTAATGAAATGAATTCACTTTCTGGCTTCCTCTCGTCTGCGATGCCAAAGAACACTGTGTTATCAGCACAGATGGAGAAGGCATGGTTCTGGAGAAGAGCCTGATACAAACAAGCCAGTGTGAATACCAATGAATCCCTGAGAATCAGACCCTCACTGTCGAGTGACAGCTGGGAGCTCCAGAAAAACGAACAAGTCCCAGGGGTCTTGTCCAACCAAACGTACTGTCAAGACTGCACGGGCAATTTGGAAGCCAGGCAAATCAGAAGCCTGGCTTTTCTTTCCCTGGGAGAAGCAAGCAGAAGACATTCACCCATGAGCTGTCTTCTTTTCTTCCTCCCTTTCTTAGTAAGAGAGGCCTGAGCAAACACTAATCAACTTATCTGAGCCAACTCTCTGCTAAGGAGAAAACTCCTGGAGGCAGTAGAAGAACAGAATGGATTTCTGAGTTACATTACTATGAAACATTAAGTTGTAAAGTCAACGAACATCAACAAATAACGCATGGAAAATGATTAGAAAAGAGGCATACCCATCAACATACTCAGAAGTCTCTGGACCTTTGAACTCACCCCCACAACTCGATACAATCCTTGGTCATTTATACCTATTGGAAGAGAAAAAATGTTAGCAAAATACAGTAATTCAAATCTGAAAAGCTATCGACAAACAGTTGCATACAGAATCCTTGCTAGCTCACATTAACAGCATTCCTGTTGCCTATAAAAAATAATGTTTGACAAGAGCAAGTGTTTAGCAACTTGTCTTAGCAGCTTGGTATTCAAGAGTTGCAGCTGGGAAAAAAATAAAGTTCCACATGGACAAAATGTAAAGAGTAAACAGTAATGAAAAAACACTGGTTAAGCAGTCGGCACATATACCAATGCAATTTGTAAAGATGCACTGTATCTTTCACATTCCTTATGTTTAGGTATTCTTGAGATTGTTCTTGACAAGTTTTAACCTTTTAAAAATAATATGATGCTGATTGGTACATAGAAAGAAATTGTTTGGATGATTCTTGAAGACCAAGGAAATCACCTAATCAAAAGTAAGGCAAAACCTGTTTTCTTTTGTGTTTCCTTAAGGGCAGTATATGCATTGTCCAGAGAAGCACTAAAACTGCAAATGAGGATCACATCAAAATTACACATCAAAATGAATTAAATCACTGCATTCTCTCTCTGTGGATACCTGGAAACAAAGTATCTCAAAGTACAACAGACAAGAAATAAAGGCAAGAAAATGTATCAGCAAATGTAACTTAGTATGTTGGACACAAGATTGTTTGAATTCTGATGTGAACAAGCCAATTGGAAAAGGACGTTTTTGAAGCAATCAGGAAACTTGGACTGGCATTAGGGTTATGTAAGAAAATGTCTTAATTGTTTATGTTGCATATTGAAAGGAGTAAGAGTAATCTATCTTAGATTTGCTTGAAGGAGGAGGAGGGGAATGAGGAGACTGTAGCAAAATCTTGAAAATTTCTGAGTCTGCACAAGAATGCAGGAGTTCACTGTACCCTCTACCTTTTCTGTACTTGAAATTTCCATGATAAAATCACGACTCCCAAAAAATGTGACTTAATATCTTTATTTCTTAAAAGAGGTGAAACTTTCTGTGTGTTTGTTTTCTGCACCACAAATGCTAAAACTAACAAGAACTGGACTGGCTGGTCCCGAGATCATGGCTCTAATCTGCAGTTTCCAAAACAAAACACCACACCAAAAAGGCCGAGGGACCCAAGGGAACCTTCTCCTTTTTTTTTTTTGCCTCCCTGTATGGAATGGTGCCAAGCGTACCAGCCAGAGTCTAAAGAACTGGGTTCAAGTCACAGCCCAGTCCCTCCTGAGCCCTGAGACCCAGGGCAGGCCAGGAACCTTCTCTGAGTCTCGATGCTGCCTCCGAGGTCAGAACAGTGTCTCTCCCCATGTGCTAGGATGGCGATACAGGCCAGGTCTCTTGGCCGTCCTTAATTAATAGAAATTGACTAAGGCCAGACAAGAAATTCAGCAAGGCTTTACTGGGGGCCCTGCTGTAGCATGGGGGAGCAAGAACAAATAACCAGTCCCCCTGCTCACAGCCCGAGGCCGGAGGAGAGCTGGTTCCTCACACAGGGTGGGGTAGGGGCGGGCCCAGAGGTTGGGCTGGACGGGTGGCCTAGGTGGTCTGCCTCCCTTTTGGTGGTCGAGTGTGCAGGGGGCGTGTGCTTTTGCTTCCTGGCTCTTCACAAGTGGCAGCTGGATTTTTTTGGTCTTTCTGTATCTTGTTGCCCATGATTTGCACCAATTGAGCATGCATGTAGGTATTTTCAGTCCTTTAAAGTTTCTTTGAGCTGAAGCTCCAATACTTTGGCCACCTAATACAGAGCCGACTCATTGGAAAAGACCCTGAAGATTGGAGGCAGGAGGAGAAGGGGACGACCGAGGATGAGATGGTTGGATGGCATCTCTGACTCAATGGACATGAGTTTGAGCAAGCTCCGGGAGATGGTGAAGGACAGGGAAGCCCAGAGTGCTGCAGTCCACGGGGTCACAAAGAGCTGGACACAACTGAGACTGAACAACAACAGTTTCCTTGTATTTGACAAAGACAAACACAATGTTTCTTTGTCTCAGGGAGACATTTGTCCATGTGCAAGCATTGCAGCAAGGGTCCAGGTCCCAGTCTGTCTCACTGGGAGAACACAAATGACACCTACATGTGCCCTGCCTATTATAACATACCGCACACACTATGTTTCATTACTCCTTACAAAAATGAGGATTTCTGTTCCTTCTTTTTCACATTTTGGCCTTTATTTCTCCTTGTGTGCATGCTCAGTTGATCAGTCGTATCCAACTCGTTGTAACCCTATGGACTGTAGCCTGCCAGGCTCCTCTGTCCTTGAGATTCTCCAGGCAAGAATACTGGAGTGGGTTGCCATTTCCTCCTCCGGGATATCTTGCCAACCCAGGGATCGAACCTGAGTCTCCTACATCTCCTGCATTAGCAGGTAGATTCTTTTACCACTGAGCCACCTGGGAAACCCTTGCATCTCCTGACTCAGCTTCAAACTTCTGAATGTCCTGTTTGTCTGTTCTGTGTCCCCCAAAATTCATATGTTGAAGTCCTAGACACCAGTATCACAGAATATAAGAGTTTTGTAATTAAAGTCTTTAAAAGAGGTGGTTAAGTTAAACAAGCTCATTAAGGCGGGTCCTAATCCAGTAAGACTGGTATCCTTATAAGCAGATGTCAAGCGACAGACACACAGAAGGAAGACAATGTGAAAACGGAGAGCGAAGACAGCCATCTGCAAGCCAAGAACAGGGGCTCTCAGGAGAAACCAGCATGCCAACAGCCTGTCTCGGATCTCCAACACCCTGTCTCAGATCCCCAGCCCCGAGAACTATTAGAAAATTAATTTCTCTTGCTTAAGACCCCCAGTCTGTGGTCCTTGAGTATGGCAGCCCCAGCAAACAGACACACCTTCTTTCTGGATTTTCTCTAGAGCTCAAAGAACCAGGGCGGCCAAGGCCCTTCAGTCTATACAAGGCTGTTCAGAAGACTCAAGAATCAGAGTAGCAGAGAGGCACCTTTGTGATGGGAAATGCTGGAAGCGGAAAAAAATGCAGGTCAACCCTGCTAAGAGTTAGAAAAATGGTCAAAAAACAAAAATCAGAGCTTGAACCTGCTAGAGGGAAAAAGACCAGACCTCACGCCTTCCTTCTCCTAGAGGCTAGAAGGCTATGTCCAGAGAGTTGGAAATACCAGAGCATTTGTTTTTTTTTTCCAACACTCCTCTATTTAAGAAACCTAAAATAGTTTGGCCTCAAAGCCAGAAGCCAAGAGAGCAAGTCATATTCTGCAGACTAACATGGCCCTCTGAGTAGTGCCAGACAAATGTAGAGAAATGAAGTAAGAATGTTACTTCAGCAATAATCATCACTCTGTGCTGCTAATTACGATCAGATAATTGATCAAGTTCACATTCATCAACCCAAGAGAAGGAGAGTTAATTGCTAATGCATAATGAAAGGTGCATGGAGGAATTAATGCTACTCAACACTTTTTACTTTTTTTAAATAAGTTTAAATAAACCTTGTTCAAAAGCAACTTGGAAACAGCACATGGACCACGCATACTCAAGTCATATGCAGAAGCGTCTGTTTCTCGTCACACTGTCCTTAAAAGCTCTGGACTAAATAACCAGAAAAACTACATCTATGAACACACGCATGATGTGCAAAAGACATCACATAAATAAATTTAAAGGCTATAAACCAATCAAAATGTCAAGTCATAGGATTTTACAGCATCTGCAACTTCTTTCCAAATTTTCCTCTTCCAGCCAAAGGAATCATTATTTCTCATCACCAAGTATTATAATTTTGAAATTTTTCTTTAACTTCTTCCCTGTCACTTTCCAAATTCAACAGACCAATGTCTGCATTCTCTTCACACTTCGGACTAATCTCTGCTTCTTCAACGTGGCCTCGAATTTGATGCCTGTGTGTTGAGCACCCCTAATAAGGACACACACATAACCATAATACAGTCTGAACACCATCATTTTTTTCTACTTTTTATTTTTCAAGTGACTTTGATTATCTTAGGTCTTTCCCATCCACGCTTAAGAGTAAGTCATCAAATGAAGTCCAAGTTCCTCAGCTGAACAAGCATGTAAGGCATAGATACATAACTCTTCATAACGAGCCTCACCTCACCAACCCATAATTTATTGTAGAGTACTCATCTAAATCAGAACAGACCCCTAACTATTACCCACGAAAAACCAAACTCATCCCTTCCTCAGGCACAAGTCCCCTCTGAGAGAGAAGTTCTTCCCTTTCTCTTCATTAATGACTCCCCTGCCATATATTCATTCATTTATTCATTTATTCATATATGGCAGATGAAATTCGAGCTCCTAATTTATCTCCCCCCCACCACCATCTCCTTTGATAACTATTGTTTCTATGTCTAAAAATTTTTTTCTATTTTGTAAATAAGCTCATTTGTATATTTTAAACTCCATATATAAAAAGATATTAGATGATAGTTGTCTTTCTCCAACTGACTTGCTTCACTTAGTATGATAATCTCTAGGTCTATCCATGTTGCTGCAAATGGCATCATATTTATGGCTGAGTAATATTCCACTCTATATAGGTATCATGTCTTCTTTATCCATTCATCTGTTGATGAGTATTAGCATTGCTTCCATGTGTCAACCATTATAAACTGTGTTGCCATGAACACTGCGGTCCAGGCGTCTTTTCTGAATTAGAGTTCCATCTTTTCTTGACATATGCCCAGGAGTGAGACTGACAGATCATATGGCAGCTCTAATTTTAGTCACAGTTTTTTTCAAGGAACCTCCATACTGTTCTCCATAGTGGGTGTACCAATTTATATTCCTAACAACAGTGTAGGAGGGTTCCTTTTTCTCCACACCCTCTGATATCCCCTTTTTCTGAATTTGACTCATAATTAATGCCTTTTAACATTTGATTACATTTAAAACAAGCCCAAATCCTCCCATTCACAATTCCCAAAACCAAACATCTGAATGCCTGACCTGATATCAGGTTATTTCAGTCTGCTTTTACCCCAGTCAGTATG